CCGACCGAACTCCACGATCCGCCCCCGTCGCTCGCGATGACAACGTTTCCATGCTAGTACACATAGAGGCCGATGTCAGCCATATCCCGGAGAATATGCTTGCCCGTCGCCGGGGTCTTGATGGACAATGGTATTATGAGCTGGGCTGCAAAATTGAGGCGGTTTATCTATCTGCGTCAACTGCTTATACCTTGATTTATAACAGTAAGTCGTCTCACATAAGCCGATATAGCATCTCATTACTTACTCACGGACAACAGACCAGCGGTACAGCACTGTTACTGCCGAATATGTCTGACACTGGCAAGCGCTGAGTTAGGTAGGAATAACATAGGGACGTTCGTGCTGGGTATGATGTCGCGAGGGTAAAGCTAGCAATAGGGTGAGCGCGTTATATATGGTCGATTTTTGTATGTATCGCAGTCGAGCGCTGTTAATTTCATGGACTTGTAACATGCACCAACCTTCATCAGAGCTGTGGTTTCTTCTATGTCCACCAACTATCCCGAGAAAAGAAACGATCCGCACTCCCTAGAGCAGAATAGAGAACGGGGTAGCCATGTCCAGAACTGACATGCAGCCGAGCAGGAGGTTGTGGGACGTCGCTGATTCCCGTGGGAGTAGACACCGTTAGGTGTGACGTAAACGCAGAGGATTTACTCAGAAAATCGAGAAGCTCACCAAGCTGCTCGTGTAAAGTTTTAAGGGTGCAGGAAGCCCAAATTCAGTACTTGAGGCACAATTTCTTTATCACATGAAACTGAGACAAAACATACCAGTAGCTGATACCATGATGAAGGGAGAAAACCCAAATTGCACTTTCTGAATATATATCTGCCGGGTGAAGAATTGTGCGACAACCCACTGTCCACCTCAAGAACAATTAAGAGCCAGTCTTCTCAGACAATCAAGACTGGAGTAGATACATTCAGGCCGTTTCCTAACGATGGAAGCGCAGTTTATGGTATGAATCTCAGCATTCAGTATGCCCCATCCCTTTTGGTCCACTTCGGCTGCGGCGCTGGCTCAACCTTTCCAAAGCCAGTCGCGCTGACCATGCCGACCTCCCACTCAAGACCCTCGATCTTGGCGCCGCCCTCCTCCATGGCCCAGAGAGTGATGCCGAGGTGGTTTGAACCCTGGTAGTTGAGGATGCCCTCGGGCACGGGAAAGCGAGTTTGCGGCCCGACGTGGTGCACAAACTTGCCAAATTGGTACCCGTTGACGAAGATCTGGGCGCGGTAGGCGGACGCAGTGGTGTTGGCAAACGTCAAGGACAGGGGGATGTCGAAGCCGGCGGGGAGGTCGAGGTCGAACGTTGTCGAGTAGTAGGCGATGCCGGCTGCGTCGATCCCGACAGTGGGACCCTCGCTGGCCTCCCAGGACTCCGAGGGGGGCTCGGGCCAGTGGTACCCCTGACGCTCGGCGAAAAGGCCGCCTTCGTTGAGGGGGCCGCGCTCCCTGTCGGCGTAGTTCTCGCCGCCGAAGTTACCGGTGATCTTCCACCTGATGTCGGACTGCCCGTGGCCGGAGAGTTCGTAGTCGAGGATGCCGCGGGGGTTCTTCTGCTGCTCCTCGCCGACGACCCAGTTTGCGTTTAGGCCCATGTGGTCAACGACGACCGTGAAAACGTACTCTCTGTCCTTGGTCAGCTTGGGCAGCGTGAAGGTGCTGTTGCGGCCGGGCGTGACGGCGTCCCCAACCCAAGAGCCGACGAACTCGCCGCCCAACCAGACAGAGGCGCCGTACGCGTTGCCTCCCTGCGTCGTGATGTTGAAGGTCGACTCCTCGCCGTTAGCTTTGAAGCGGCCGCGGTACAGCAGCGAGCCGGTGTGGTAGCCGTAATCGCCCCCGTACAAGCTGACTGGCGTCTTGAGCGGGTGGGCGGTGTTGTACGTCTCTCCGAGGTCGGCGTCGGTCCAAAGCTCATCCGAGTAGCCGGGCTTGATCTCGGGCAGGCTGTCGATGTACTTCCAGCTCATCTGGCTCAGGGAAGGGAGCTTTATCTCGGGGACAGCAAAATCGACAGTCGCGGTGACGACGCCGTGTTCGTCCTGCTCAAAGTCAAGAGACTTGCCGTTGAAGCTCAAGCTCTTGAGCGGGGTCGGGGCGCCACCGACGACTTCGATCGTGGTGGTGCTGTTGACGTCGCCGGAAAAGCTCAGAGAGTCGCCGCCGACTGCAACGTTGCGGATGAGGTAGCCGGCCTTGACGATCACGTCGGAGGTGGCGAAGTCGCCGACTGCCGGAGGGACCCAGAACTTGTAGGCCTCGTTGCGGGCTAAGGGCGTGTTAGTCACACAGTTGATACATTCTTAATTATTGTTGGTGACACACTCAAAAGATAGACGTAGAGGTTTCCCTGGACGCGAACAACCTTGCGCTCGTCCGAAACGGCCCACCCGAGGACGGTGTAGCCGTCTCTCTGCTCGATAGTGACATCGGAGCCCTGAATGACGTTCTCGTCGGTCAAATCGGCCTCCTCGCCCTCGACGGCCAATTCGTGGTGCTCGCCAGGGCCGCCGTAGACAACGAGGACGGTCTTGTCCTCGTATTTCTTCCTAAAAGAAATGGCATAAGCAGAAAGGCCTCCGACCAATATGGTTTGTGGGGATCACCAACCAGGTGAATATTTCGGCCGTGGAGTACACCAGGTTCTTGTCGCCAACGGGGTAGTCGCTGACGTGGATTTTGGAGTCTCTCCTGGTCAAATAGAGGCTGTCGCTGAGCTGGGGCACTTCGAGTTCCCCGTAGCCAACAGTCTTTACCTTCAGTTTATAAGACACTGTCTCGACGGAGTCGTATTGGGTGTGTCTGCTGTAACGTCAGAAGGCGTCTACCAATAGACAACACCGGAAACGGACCTTGCAATGTAGAACTTGGTCGAGTTGGTCGTAGCAGGGGTGACGGTGATTGCATCGTTGTTCGTCCATTCGAGAGAAGAGTTGTGTCGGTCAGCCGCAAGATAGGCGGGGGATACGTGGAGGAAGTTGGACTGTAGCTTGGTCTCGCTGTACTTCTCACGGTTGACGAGACGCTCTTCACTAATTTGTGCTCCATAGTCATAAGAGGTGTAACCGTCAGAGTGGCCAAGATTGCCCCAGTTGGTACCACCCCAAGTCTATCCAGCGTCAGACAGGCATAGCGAATCCAATTGACATGCTCAACTGACCATGTAGATGTTGAAGATGGTGACTCCAACGGCGTAGTTGTTCTTGTAAAGAACACGCTCAAACTCATGATTCAGGAGTGCTGCGCAGTACTCAAACCCGGCACCGCCCCACGGCTGGAAACCACCACCTTGGAACTGCAAGCGATTAGTACCATGTTTTGGGTGGTGCAGCTAGTCCATACAATACCTCGACGATGGTATAAGGGGTAGTCGGCGCAAGCTTGTTATGATTAGCAAGCCAGTCAGTCGGGAGGCCGTTCGCGGGCCAAACAGTGGGATTCCAGCAGTCAAAGCCCAAGGGGTAGGCATTGTGGCCGTAAATGTCGACTTTGGCCGGGGTCAAGGCAGTGATGGCCCCAATCTGCTGGGCTTCGTTATTGACGTAAGGGACGACGACGCCCTGGCTACGGAACTGGTTGTCGACGTATTTCCAATAGTCGTAGTCCGGGAACGGGTACGGGTCGATGGCTGAATTGTACTCATTCTCCATCTGGAAGAGGACGACAGGGCCGCCGTTGGTGATCTGCGCTTTGGCAATGGTGCTGCCAAGGGTAGCTGTGTAGCTGGTTTTTTATTCTTCGGTCAGCGGATGCCCGACGGCGTAGCCCTTCTCCTTTCTTACTTTTCAGTGGCCTTAAGGTAGGCCTCGTCGTTGCTTCGCAGGACTCCCTGGACTCGTTGAAGCCAACCTGGAAAGCCACCTCCGCTGACTTCGGCGTTTATGTACGGCCCGGGACGCTGGAGGAAATATTAAATCATCGTCATGCCCGGCATCTCTCGTCTGTGGGACTCACGGCAAATAGGTAGAGACCAGCCTTTTCGGCGGCTTCGAAGAGAGGCTCGAGAGCGAAAATGCCCTCGGCGCGGACCTCTCCCGGCTTGGCCTCGAGCAGCGCCCAGTTCACGTAGAACGAAACGGAGTTGTATCCGGCAGCCTTGATCTTTTGGAGGATGTCAAGCCAGAGTGACGGAACAGGCATCCTATTGACAGCCGTTAATTTCCATTTGGAACAGTGCAGTCCAGAATGGTAGATTTACCTGAAGGCATGGAACTCGGCACTGAAAATCATCAGCCTCTTGCCGTTGATGAACAAGCTCTTGTCATCCCAAGTAACCTATGTTATCTTAGAACGTTGTCCTTACTTCGAGACGAGCCAAGGTTCAAGTCGGACACTCAATCCGGCGTCCGACTGTCCGGGATACCTACGATGTCTTGCTGTCTTCCATTGAGAAGCTTGATGCCTGCATCAATGGACCTGGCACCGACACCGACACCGTCGAACCAGGCCAGAGACAACAGGGCAAGAGATTTGACGCGAGATAGCAACATTTTGCTCGAAACAAGGCACTACGATCAGAACCCAGTCTCGATGATGACGACGTTGTCAATAGAAAGTAAGCCTGGACCATCCGGGACTCCCTAGAGCCAGGAACCAGTGTCTTTTTGACATGAACGACATGCACACGATCTTTCCAGGCGTTGGACCGAAACGCCACCATCGGCAGGCACATCGGCAGGCAGGTCGCCCCGCAGCGGCGGAATTATCGGCATTACTGCATCGTGAATGGTCGGCGTACATCAGGCACTACATCGCCTTTCGCCTGCGATCTCACCCCAGCAGGCTTCCCCTCTTTCTGCGGCAGTCTAACTCTCTTTCTACGGCAGTCTACCTGGGCACCTGTGCTCATAGGTACACAGAAACGAACATGAAATGACGTGCGAGATGCGTGCCACTGTTGTATGTGAAGAGAGGCGGGGGGCAGTCGTTGGATATCCAACCGAACCCCTGTCCATCCTCCCCGCTCGAAAGCCCCGCGTTTCCCCACAATGGCCTGCGTTTGCCAGGAACGCCCAGGAACGCATCAAGAATTCGGTCCATACAATCGGGTACAGGTAGAATGCCAGAGCGCTTTGGTCGGCGGCCAGTGGATTAAGCCTATTTCGGAATGCATTATGTCAGCGCCAGCAAGAAATCGCCCACAACAACATTCTGACTTAACTGACCAATAAGAAGGCCAGGATTCAGAGAGTTGCGTAAAGTTAAAAACTCTTCGGATTTAAGCAATTCAAAGTCAAGGCAAAATAGAAACAGCTGCAATTATTTCAAAAACTTGTTATATCACGTGACTAATTCAAGGCCCAAGTTAACCCTGCCTATAGTGCCTATAGTGCCCATAGTGCCCATAGTACCTATATTGCTGTAACGGCTGCGGCGACGGTGGCACCAACGCGGGCATCGTGGGCGTCTGTTGGCGATGGTGGATTTGCGGCAAAAAGGGCGTTTTTCGCATGGGTTACGGACGTGGGCAGTGGTGGCCGTGGCGGTGGCAGTGGCGGTGGTGGCAGTGCCTTCCAAAATAGGCTTAACCCACTGGCCGCCGACCAAATCGCTCTGGCATTCTACCTGTACCCATACAATCAATGGGTGAAGCAAAGTCTAGTAAAGACGGCAAAATAGACAAGACATATCGCTGGCTTCCACTTTTCTCTATTGGAATACCTCACACACGTTTACTTGGTGACTGCAATGAGCTATCCGGATTTAGACACACTTGGCCACTGTTTTGCCAGTCTCGGGTATCCACTTCATTTTTGTCTGCTAGCTGTTGTTGCTAGCTGACTTTCTTCCTTCTTGATCACTGTTGGTAGCAATATCCCATCGGGCGCGAACGGACCTCACTAACCCCGAGGTGGATCACCCTCCACTTTTACCCCTCACTTTCGGAGATACATAGTAGTAACAATACCTTTGTCGGGATATTCATCACCGGTGGAGGGTGGGGCCGATCCGAGGTCACGTGACTAACCTTGGCGGCTCACTCACTTACACCTCCACGAATATCCACGGCAGCTGCCAACTTTGAACTTCTTCATCATCATACCTCTTTCGCATCAATATTAATATACGCTATTTTTTGCCTCTGGTCGACCACCAACCCTGTGATACCAACAACCTTGTTTTAGAATGCTATTTTATTAGCAACTACCACTAATTTCAACGTTATCACTGACATTATCATCAAAATCACAATGTCTTCTGATTTAGATACCTCTATTTACAGCACTATTCACGTAGAGATCTTGCTAAAGGACCTTGCTGTTGCCTGCCCAGATAACTATTGCCTAGAGCGGTGTAATAACGCAACAGTCTAGCCTAATAAAGTGTCGTGAAGCTGGGACAGCTTCGTGTGGCTGGTTCCAGTTAGAGACGCCACGAAGTGGCGCCTCCAACCGATAAGACCCACATTAGGAAGAGTATTTCTAGGCGATATTTCTCTCGTACTTAGACTTAGGAAAATCAACTACTTCTCTTCATAAACGTAAAGACGCTGCGGTTCATCACATAAAGGATCTAGTAAGGCTACTTAGACTATAACATACTGTTATATAAAGGTAAAGATTACTAGTACCTTTGGCATAGGCAAAACGCTATATTAATAGAAGTACCTTGAAACTATTGGCTTTTGGCGTTAATTGCTGTGGCCTGATTTGCCCCTACCCCTCACCGGGGTTAGTGAGGTCTGTTTGCGCCCGATGGGATACGCATATATTGCTCTGTCCATTGCATCGCGCCTCCACAGCTTGAGACCCAGAAAAAGTATTACATCAATGACCGCATATTTCAAGAGGATATCATGGTAAGTCCCTTTGATTCTTTTTCAGTATTACGTAGCTCCAAAGTTACAGGTACCACCGCACTGTCACTAACACACTCAACAGCATGAATAACCTTGAATAATCACAAATAAATTCTTTATTATGCCCTTTATAAACCATAATAAACGCCCCTCTAAGCGGAGAGTATACTTAACAATATTTGATATTTTTAAAAATAATTATGCTTGCTTGAGGCCGAGGAGATTGCTAAGTTTGAGCACGCTGACGGTGACTTTATTTGTAGTACTAGGAGGCAAAACACCAGCTCCCATAATGATCAGGTAATCAGGGTCCTCCTCGAACACACGCACATTGCGCGTGTAGGCGCCGGGTTCGGGGGAGTCGTAGGCTACCCAAGCGTCGGGTTCACCGCCACGGCGGTTGATAAAGAGAGGAGCGGTGTTGCTACTGACGATAATTGTGCCGTTACAGCCACCGACGGGAGACCAGACGACATTGGGGCTGTTAATAGGGAAGACACCGCCGTTGGTGCTCTTGATATAATGGTCGGGAGCATCCGCGAACTTGCGGGGGTCCTTGGCGATTCGGTAGTAGATGGGGAACGAGTAGGGAGTGATAATGTCGGCACCGCCGTATTCAAATGTGTACATATAGTCGCCGTTGGCTAGCTGGGTGATGAATGGCATGCCGGGGCGGTCGGTGTACCTTGGGTAGGTTACGTCGATGACGACGTCTGACCAATTCTTAAGGTCTTTGGTCGTCTGATGGGAGATTTCTTGCCCATGCTCAGACGAGCGTTGGTCGGCGTAGTACAGAATCAGGTCATCCTCGAAGATACTAGGATGTAAGTCAGTAACTCCGTCCAGTAGACCAGTCATCCAGAACGTCGTAGTCTTACAGAATGAATGGTTCCCACACCGGGGTCTCCTCATTGTTAGGAATGGCACGGCCGCCACGCGCAACGTGGGAGAGGAACTCCCAGGTGCGACCCTTGTCCCGCGAAGCATACAGGTCGATTTGGGTCTCGCTGAGGTCGGTGGGGATGCTGTTCCCAGCCAGGAGAATGGTCCCGACAGGAAAGCCAGCAAAGTCCTGCCGTAGCTCATACAGGAAAGGCTGGTAGCGCAGGCCCCAGTTGTTGACTTGGTCGTGGACCTGGCCGACCTCTTCCCATGTAAGGCCGCCGTCGAGGGACTCGTAGATTGGAAACCAGACCAGGGGGGGCTCCGGGGAGTAGTTCTCCCAAGTAGCGAGAAGACGGCCGTCGATGAGCTGGACGGTACGAGGATATAGGACGCGAGGGTCAGTGTAGTTGTCGGGTGGCTGGAAGATGAGGTTTCGCTCAAAAGTCTCGAGGCCGGACGCGATGCCGCACGTAAGAGCACCGACAGCGGCAATGAGGGCGGAGCGGATTATCATGTTGGCGACCTGAACTCGACGACCGCCGTAGGGTATGACACGTCTGACGGACGAAGCGGACGAACAAGACAGATCCTCCCCAGACTGAGACGATGGGGCCTCTTATATGATAGCACTGAATATTGCATCCCTAGTCACCAGGCCCATTCCCCTGGTATCAAATGCGTTACTACATTGGCGTTGTTGACTATACCAAGATGGCGCGATGTGACATGGCCTGAACTAGCAGTGTAGCTCCACCTCGAGGCTCGGTTACCTCGGTAGCCATGTGGTGATGACCTGTAATCTGTTTCTCCACCATCGTAATTCTTCCCAACTGGAGAAGAAGCCTGGGGAAAGCCATACGACAAACAGTCAAGGCCTTAGTGCCGTGTATTGTCAGACGCGTATCGAGGATGAATGTACCGGGACCAGTTCTGCACAAGAGAACTATTGTCACGAGGTGAACGAAGCCACGATTGTAGCATAGCAATCATGGATCCTTTTTTGTGCCTCATTCTATTCGTCGCAACTATTGAGTTTGGATATGCGCGCCAAACGAACAGCTCTCTCAGAAGAATGACGCATGAGCCCCACTGAGATGCCTATCATAAACGAGTCTGGGATCGTGAGGGCCGCCGGTGCAATGTTATATCGAACCCATGCTGGAAACCCCCAGGCTCCCAAGTTGTCTGTGGGGTTCGTGCGGGGAAAATGGAGTCAGGTATCCGTACTGGGTGTTCGTGGCTGGATGTCAGAGATGCGCACCAATTGTATCGGCGAACTGTCTGATCGTGGAGTTCATCCTTTGCCGTGCTGGCTTGTTCTTTAATTCCATGATTGACGAGCTGGTAATTACCAACAAAGTGTAGGACCAAGCTAAGGATTACCGCATGTACTGTTCTAGTCAAGACAAACAATAGATTCTTAAACACAGAGTATGCCCGTTTGTGAGGAGTCGAGAAGAGTCCGAAATGATGAATAATACTGCCCAGAGCTCAGATCCACGGGTCAACAACCGTGATGGGCCAAGCAGGTGAATCTCAATGTGTGTACGGATATGTATCTCGTATCTACAAGAGTGGGCTGCTGCAGAGTGTGGAGCTCTATGGAGCTCTAAGGATGGCCTCCATGCTGACTCATCCCATCCTACCACGTGACACCATTTGCTTTCCATTGGACTCATATTCACACATATCGTTCTGCCACAGTTCTTGATATACATTAAAGTCTATGTAGATGTAGCAATCAAAAGCTATCTGGCTTGCAACAGAACGCAAACACTGTGGTTGATGCGTTACAACCACTCGTTCGATAGGTAGACGAAATGTCCCAAAGGCTTGAAGAGACTATCACAAGAGAAGACAAAATGACGCAATGTTCATACATGTGTTGGAATCATTTTACCCGACTTATTTCTTTGGTATCAGTTAGTTGTTGATGCTCAATTCATGGGAGTCAACAGGGGGCCATTGGGTGCAGAAGCTATGGTGTTCGCTTATGTTTTTCTTTCTTGGCAAACCAGCTTAAATCTTGAGAGACGACTAAGCAAAATGGCCACCCATGGAGGAACTGCAGGGAAAAAACCTACCTAAGAGGCTGGGCGAAGGGGGGGTTGGGGGGTTGTTTAAGTGGCCATACCATACAAGGTGATAAGAAGTTAGTAAGACGTACGGCCACATTCAGTCAAAGGGATACAATATGCCTGTTTGGCTATGTGCTAAAAGTCAAGTGACCGACCTGTCATTCAGATAACGGTCGAGTGCATGGAAGGATTGGAACTTGGCGAAGCACTAACTAATTACTGCATGGATTCTCGTATTCCCCCGCTCGACAACCGTTGATATATGCAAGACACCCCTGCGAATGACAGCATGCGGTCATGGCATCGACTATTCTGGAAATCAGACCCCGGTGCTGCCTACGATGAACATACGCTCAAGACACCGATACAGTTGGCAGCGTAAGACTTGTCATTCCATGCAGCGATGTTGGACCGACCTAACAGATTTTGAGGTTGAATACGAAAAGAGACGCAGGGTAATATTCTGCGATAACGAGACGCATAAAAAGACTTCGTATTCCCCGCTCCCCGTTTCTTTTGCGTCGCCTCCCAGAAACTCTGCTATATGCGTTGAATTTGTCGTAACCATAAGACGTTTTGCTTTTTCTAGCGGCGTTGATAATAAACATCATAATAATAATCAGCCCAGTCAGCCGCCATGTTGTCTCCTAAGGCCGCCGCGGCCTTCTTCAACCTGTTCCTCCTGGTCTCCGCGGCTCCGTGGAAGCGGCAGTCGGACGGCATCGGGTCATGTACCGATCTCCACATCTTTCTCGGCCGCGGGTGGAACGAAGCCTACCCCGGCCGACAGCAGATCCTCTACGACGCAACTTGTAACGGCCTCGCCAGCTGCGACTACGAAGATATCCGGTACGACGCAACCAACACCGGCTCCGTCGAGTCGGGCCGTGCCTCCGGTATCTCTCAGCTACAGGCGTACACTCGGCGCTGTCCCAATTCCAGGATCGCTCTGAGCGGGTACAGCCAAGGAGCTAATGTTATAGCGGACATGCTTGCTGATTCCGGACTAAGCCCGAGTGCTGCTCCCGCGAACCAGGGTAAGTGATACCTTCATAGCACTTTCAATGAGGAAAGATTTGAGGTGGGGTGATGTTACATAAAAACCAGCTAACCATTGCTTGTGAAAATAGTCTGCGCCGCTCTCCTTTTCGGCGACCCAAACCACGTCCCCAACCAGAGCTACAATGTCGGGGGCGGCGCCGGGTTCACGGGCAAGTGGCCCCGATCCCAGTCCTCTGCCAATAGCTTGAACAATTTCGCTGGGGTCTTGCGCTCGTGGTGTAACGTTGATGACCCCGTCTGCGCGTCTAACTCCGGCCAGGACGGCGGCGAGCTCGCGCACACCAACTACTTCCAGGTCTACACCAACGAAGCCGCATCGTTCATCAGGGAGAAGTGCGCCGGCTCGCAACCGTCGCCGGACCCACCCGGTGGCGGTTCCGTCTGTGTTGCCGGCACGGTCAAAGCTGGCCTGACAGAGAATTACACGGGCCTCTGTAACTTTGCGTGTAGCTATGGCTACTGCCCAAGCGACCAGTGTGAATGCACGGCCTTTGGTCAGCCGGCACCAAACCCTGGAGGCGACGGACGGGACGGTTGCCCTGCCGGCGGTCTGGACGAAAGCTACAAGGGGCTTTGCAGCTTCAGCTGTAGCCGAGGCTACTGCCCCCCGGGAGCATGCGTTTATTGCTAAGTGGTTGGGGACATAGTCCGGATATACGGTCATCATAATAGTGTGCATCCAGACGTGGTCAGGCATGCATATGTAGCCTGTCAAGGCATCATCTAATCAAGTAATATGCAGTCTATCAAGAGAAGCTTGCTGTTGTATGCGTTCTTTATTTTCTATTCTTTCATGGTCCTTGAAGTGAAAAGACGCCCACCCTGCAAGAAGTAATTACGTCACTAGGTGCAGGATAATTAATTAGCAGGAGGTGGGTGAGGCGACTCACTCTAAGCGGCAACAGTGCTTCTTATCCTCCAGCCTTAGGAGTTATGTAGTCCTGGTCTCCGAGCTTTCAGTTTCCGGCCTGGCCATGGTGGGGCCAGTCAGTACGGCAGCCTGCAAGGCTTACTCCGTCAAAACCCAAGTGGATATTAAAAAAGCCACTTTTTGCTTATACAGCTACCCCCTTTTTTGATTGGTCCTTCTGCTTTGTTGCAAGCAATAGTATAATATAATTAGCTAAATAATATAGCTAGTACAGTAGGTAGGGGCTACTACTGTAGACGCCTGCCCACTGTTGCCAGCGCCTGCCCACTATTGCCAGCGCCTGCCCGCCTACCCACTGCTGCCAGCGCCTGCCCGCCTACCTACTGCTGCCAGCGCCTGCCCATTATTGCCAGCGCCTGCCCACTGCTGCCAGCACCTGCCCACTGTTGCCAGCGCCTGCCCACTATTGCCAGCGCCTGCCCGCCTACCCACTGCTGCCAGCGCCTGCCCGCCTACCTACTGCTGCCAGCGCCTGCCCGCCTACCCACTGCTGCCAGCGCCTGCCTGCCTGCCCACTGCTGCCAGCGCCTGCCCATTGTTGCCAGCGCCTGCCCGCCTGCCCATTGTTGCCAGCGCCTGCCCGCCTGCCCACTGTTACCAGCGCAAGGATCTAGGGTTGACTTTTTATGGGTCTTAATGCCTCACTAACTTATTAATGGTCTAAAAGCATAAAGCTATAGCTAATCAATCTAATATGATAGATAGATAAGTGGGGCGATAAGGATTTTCTCATAGCTCTAGGTACACCTGCCGTTTCTGTAACTAAGTTTTTGTTTTGACGGAGTAAGCCTTGCAGGCTGCCGTAAGTCAGGGTCAGCAGGGTGCTTACGCTGACATCACAACATCTCCGCTATGTACTACTTACCTACATACAACCCTTACCATCACTTTAATATGCATCACCATATCGACACTACACCCTTCAGTTGGCGCTGACGCTGCGCTGACGCTGCGCTGACTCTGACATTCCTGCCCTTCCTGACCTCCCGTTAACTATCATGTACCTTTTCACTGTATATCTCAACCTATGTCACAAGCATACAGCCACTTCGAGTAGGTGCTTTTGCGGGGGATTTACTGATTGGATTGCTGTATTGCACTTTAAATCAGGGCACTGGGTGAGGGCCCAAAAGCATCGTAAGATGCTTCTAGGACCAATATCTGGGGGAATACTGTACTGTAAAGGTAGCTAGATAGGCCGCGCGGGCGCCCTTTGCTACTGGGTTGGATCTTCCGGCGTTAAACAATACTACTGTTATTACTACTACTTCAAGCTTTCAGAGCTGTCCCCAGATGCGGTTGATGAGACCTTTCGCAAGAGACTGAAAGCAATTAAGACAAACTCTAGCTACCACTGGAAGTTCGAGTTCTCCCATCTCATATCAGTGGGGGAAGACGGAATGGCGTCAATTCTTGTCAGAGCCTTCACGATATGCGGTGCCGGCATGCTCCTATTCTATATTCATAGCTGCAACGCACGAGGTCAGCCTTTTCGCAAACGTCTCACAATAGATGTGCCCATGGCATCTCTCCTCCCCAGCGTACCTTTTGACTTTGGAGAACTCATAATCCGAGGCTGCTTTGAGGATCCAACTAAGCTATACAAGATTATTAGGCCAAGCTCCGATCTAGTATTACTTCCTGAGCGGTACGCTTCTGAGTCTGGGTCTTATGGGTATAAGAAATTTAGCTTCAGGTTGGTGATAAATGACTTTTGTAGTACGGTTGAGCTTGCTTTCTGTCGCTGTTGGCCGAGGAAGAAGGCTCTTTAGCATAGTAGGCCAGGTGTTCCCATTAATCTAGACTTCTTATGATAGTACATGTTATCGCATGAGGGGTGGGGAAATATCCCCTTATCGGGCCTTTGTCGGACGCCGAAGCTGTCACAACTTTGTACTGTTCACTCCAACCTGCAAGTTTGACAGTTCATATGATCTGCAAGACGGGATGTCACCTCATCGCAAGAGACTCCGCACAACTCCGCCCTGGGCAAACTTCCGGGTGTCGTCAAAGACCTTTAGACAATATATTCTCCTATTATAGGTACATCTATGATAGATCGGCCCTAGTCTGTGGCGCCGGCGTATGGCAGGTGCTCAAATGCTGGCTAGGAAACGGACCTATTAACCCCGGACAGCTTGCCAGTTCGAGGTATGGCGGCCGGCACTAACAACACCTTTTCTCCGACATGGGCTGCATTTCATTTAGAGATACCCCGGACTGCCTGTACAAGCTTAGATCCGGGGAAATTTATGCGGGTAGGCCCGTCTCGGTTGGAGGCACTTCGGCGTTGCTTGTTCTGTTATTACATTAGTTCAGCTTTTTGGCTGGTCGGTTGACCATTTGAAGCGACTCATGAAAGTCAGTGTCCAGCCAAAGAGTCAGTTATTAATGGACTGCAAGCTTCAAATGGTATAAAAGTAGCTTGTGCTGCCCTTGGGCCTTGTTAGGAGATAGTCCTCAACATCCATCGCAATACTCATTGAAACTTTAGTTCTGATATCATCCGAAATTGCTTGCTAGCTTCATCCAAATGAAGTCAACCACCAACCTGGCTATTGCTAGCCTTATCAGCTTTGTCTATGGACATGGCTACTTGACTGTTCCTTTCAGCCGTACCAGACTGGGTGTCGAGGCAGGTAGTCCGAGATGTCCTTGGCCGTCATATTTAGCTTACATAAAAAAGGCCGGTGTAGATTCTTGCCCCGAGTGCACAATTCAAGAGCCTGTGTCCGCCTGGCCCGATGTCACCGCTGCTACCGTTGGCCGAAGCGGACCCTGCGGCTACAACGCCCGGGTCGGTGTGGACTACAATCAACCGTCCAACAACTGGGGTAGCTCCCCAATAGCAACTTACACACCTGGCCAGACGATCGACGTTCAGTGGTGCGTCGATAACAACGGCGACCATGGCGGCATGTTCAGTTACCGCATCTGCCAAGATCAGGACCTGGTAGACAAGTTTATCACCCCGGGCTATCTCCCCACCGAGGCCGAGAAGCAGGCCGCTGAAGATTGCTTCCAACGCGGCACCCTGAAATGCACCGATGTTTCGGGTCAAAGCTGTGGTTACAACCCGGACTGTTCCTCGGAAGAAGCTTGCTGGAGGAACGATTGGTTTACCTGCAACGCGTTCCAAGCGAGCAGCCGCCGCGCATGCCAGGGCGTCGATAACGCTAATTTAGGGTCTTGCTACACCTCTATCGCGGGTGGCTACACCGTCACCAAAAAGATCAAGATCCCCAATTATCTCTCAAACCATACTCTGCTGTCGTTCCGCTGGAACTCGTTCCAGACAGGACAGGTCTACCTCACATGCGCTGACATCGCTATCGGCGGTGGAGGCAGTAGCCCGCCTGTGTCGACGCGCACAAGCACCGCTGTAGCGACGGCGACCAGCGGTGCATGCACCATCGCGAGCAACGTGGCCGTGACTTTGAATGCGATTGTCAAGACGAACCCGGGCCAGACCATCAAAGTTGCGGGCTCGATTGCTGCATTGGGCAACTGGGACGTGGCGTTGGCTCCAGCACTATCGGCGGCGCAATACACAAGCACCAACAATTTGTGGACTTACACGGTGTCGTTACCGGCGGGCACGGCATTCCAGTACAAGTTTATCAACGTGGCGTCAGACGGCATGGCGACATGGGAAAGTGACCCAAACAGGTCCTATACGGTACCGCACAGTTGTTTGACAGCTGTGACTATCGGCAGCAGTTGGAAATGACGAGGCTTGTATCTGCAGGGAATATGATGTTGAAGCTTTTTTGGTTTTTGGTTTTTGGTTTCAATCGTTTATGCAGTTGGTCAATATTCGTGTGACCTTGTATTATCTGCTGTGCGTAGTGAGTATCAGCACGATGGAGACATGTAGACAATCGTTCCCTCAGTATGGCGCAGCCTAGTTTTGAACGTTCGTGAAATTGAATGAAGTCTGCGTACTGCCAGTCGTGTCCTTTTCACCAAGGTTGCCTAATCATGGCTGCATGATGAAGAGGCGAAGTCGTAGCTCGGCACTCACATTAGGCTTCAGTGGGTCAAAGGATCTGTTTCCTGTTCTAGATGGCGAGACCCACGAGAAATCTCGCCGCTGAATAGAGGACTCATGAAATCAAGTCATGGCGGCCGAACCCAAAACCTACTCCATTTGCCGCAGATCGCCGAATGAGTAATTCGGTCAATACGCTTTGGCGGCCTCAATCCTTATGAGCAATCTTAGGCTTGAGTGGCTTGTCGGCCTTGCTAGCATTCAGGGACCATCCAGTTTAGTGCTTACTCTTCTCCATTCTGATGCGTTCTCGTTTGGTGACCTCGGTCAATGGAATCCGATCAATGCAGGCAGCAGCATGCAATCCTCCGCAGTGTCCTGGGCATAGCCAGTGCGGAAGAGGCGTTGCGCAGTTAGGTGACTCACAGCCACATGAAACCCACTGAACCCTTGCTTGCTGAGGCAGCCGACATAGATCATGAGAGAGATGCCTAGCGCTTCGCTGTCGAATCGGCCATGGGATGTTTGCCTAGAAGGAATTGATACACTTCACCAGCAGCTGTTAACCGTGATCCATGGGAATAGATAAATACGTTTCCGGTCTCCTGTTTGTAATAACGTCTTTGGTGTTCAGTATCATCATTCTCAGCCCCTTCTCACCCACATCCGGCACGATGGCGCCTTCAAGCACAACAACAGAGGCCTTGGGCCAAACCATGGTCGACGACTCGATCAAGGAGACGAAAACTCCTCTCAAGGAGACAGAGAACGGCACTAGCACGAAAGACTTCAAGAGCACAAACGGTGATAATAGCAACGACGAGACAGAAGATAGCGAGGTATCAGCGGAGGTCGAAGAGAAGAAGGGGGAGGAAAAGCCTAAGAAGCCTTTCGCTCCCTTCGGCTCCATCGCATCCACCAAGAACATCTACAAGTCGCCCAAAGACAGCGACGGCAACTGGACGTGGGTTGAAAAGTATCCCGAAGACGTCGAGGAGGCAGCCGAGAACGAAGAGACAGAGCAGTACGCCGTCGTCGTACGCAACATCAAGAGCAACGACAGCCGCAAGAAGCTCGAGGCACATTCCATCGTTGTACAGAGTCCCTGGCTGAAGAAGGCGCTGGGTGAGATTCTGGACGATTACCCCGGCGTTGCCTGTGAGTTAGAGCGCCTCGAGTTCGGAGCACCTTTCCACCCTTTTGTGCACCGCTGGACGGAATTCCGCGAGTACCGCAACAAGGAAGACCTCGATGAGACTCTCAAGGAGCACCTCACGATTCTCCACGACATCCTGCAATATGAGATTGGCAACTCCATCAAGGCATTTGAGGATTACGTTTCCAAGGGCGTCATCACCTTCGAACATCTCTGGATGATCTTTCAGCCTGGCGCCACCATTCTCGCCGCCCACAAAGGGCCCCTATCAGCCTTTGAGCTTGAAGAATCCGAGTACATGGAGAACAGATGTGGGAAATTCCTTCAGTTACGCGCCGATTGTGTCGACTACAGCGGCAAAAGTTTTGGGCGTTACCGGGAGAGGATCTCCGTCCCCGAGTTCATCGGCACAAAGAAGATCACAGGTCTCGACGCCTTTCCTTTGGCATTCCACCCCGAGAAGGAAGCGCTCAGTGCGGCCCTGGTGCGCCGGGGCCAGAAGTTTGAGGAGTTGGCTGGTCACCACTACAAGCAGTACTCAGGGAGCGCCATTACCTGGGACCGTGAAGGCAACGAGGTTCCCATACAGGTTGAGGGCCGTGTTGTTATCGATATCAACTCCTTCAATCGCTTTAGCCCCTATTACAACACCCGATACACGAGCGATTGGACAGCCAAGGATATCGAGGCCCTGTATGCGTGGAAACGTCAGCATGGCCTGGGTAAGGACGGCAATCTCAAGTTGACCCCAGCTCATCAAATGCTCGCCCGCTCCAGGACACGCGGATACTCGCTCAAGTTGAAGAAATGGTTGGATTTCTACGTCGAGCAAGTTACTGAGATAACCTGGAACACCAACGCCTTCGACAAGCTTGTGCTTCCTGAAGACCAAAAGGAGCTGATCCTCGCCTTCTCTGAATCTCAACTGGAGGGTTCCACCTTTGACGATGTCATCTCTGGCAAGGGCAAGGGCATCATCTGCCTGCTCTCCGGCCCCCCTGGCGTGGGTAAGACGCTGACAGCAGAGGCTGTAGCTGAGAATCTGCGCGTGCCTCTGCACACTTTGAGCTCTGGTGATCTCGGTTCCGAGCCGTGGGAGCTCGAGAACGGCCTGTCGAGGATCCTGGAGCTGGTTGCACGATGGAATGCCATCCTACTTCTGGACGAGTGCGACGTCTTCCTCGAAGCACGTTCAACACACGATCTGGAGCGGAATAAGGTCGTATCGATCTTCCTGCGGACTCTCGAGTATTATGAGGGCATTCTTTTCATGACGACCAATCGCGTTGACAACATCGACCTAGCCTTCCAGTCCCGAATTCACGTCTCTCTTGAGTACCCCGACTTGACACCCGAGTCTCGACGCCAGATTTGGCACAACTTCCTGCGGGAAACGACCCTTAAGAGCGAAATCTCCGATGAGGATATCGCGGAGCTGGCCGAGTTGCGGCTCAACGGTCGCCAGATAAAGAACATCCTGAAGACATCGCAGCTGCTTGCTGCACGGAAGAAGAGTGCGCTGAAGCGCAGTTTTATTGATACCGTACTCAGTATTGAGAAGAGACGTCCTGCCGCTCCAGTCGCTCTATGAGTATTTCGCCGCAGAAATGCGGGCGGCACGTCTGGGGCCTTGTCGTGGAGTTATGATATTGCCGGGCGATGCTTTTCAGTGGATTCGGAAGGGTTGGGGTTTGAGATGCTATCGCGATGCTTGAAGAGCCATAAGTACACATGAATTGACGACCTGGTTATCAAACCTTGCAACTATGTGAGGCCACAAAGTGTAGTCTGTGGAATGCATGTGGTAACTCACGCCAATATCTCCTTCTACATTTAAGCAGTCCTATTCAAGATCACGTCTTGGGCTATGGAACCTCGCATCGCGTGCACTTGCTAGCCAGTTAGTATTTTTAGTATCAGCCTATCGGCGGAGCCAGAGACCGATTCGCCCCGCCCGCTGAATGCAAGCCGTGACTTCAATCTCGAGAGCTTGGCCTAAGGGCTGATCGACATGCTGGGTTTCACGACACAACATACATACCAGTACACCTGAACGAGAAATCAAGAAGAATGCATGATGGCGAGAATTGTCTCTAGTGCGTCTGTTCCCCGCTCCAGGTCTCACTTGGTGGTGGTGGCGGATTAACGAAACAAGGGAGTGGAGCTTGACGTTAGATGAAAGACGCACATATTACGACACTAGAAGCCAGCGCCTAGCAAAATAATATGTTATGAGACTTCTATTCCCATCTTCGTAGGGCTTAGTCTGTATAGCCGGATCCAGGCCCAGCAGAGGCGCTTCAGCACAGACATGAGCGCGTCATCGAACCTCCACATCGAGATATGATCACCCTTGAGACAACAGTATGCGATGATTCATTCGCACCCGCCCGCTTTCCCTTTATTAGCAACCAGCAGCATCAAAGCATGTTGGCGAGGGGAAGGCTTGAGTTGAGTGACAATAGGATGAAATCATTGAGCATACACGTCCTCCAATGAACTGCAAACGAATTTCAATCCAGGCGGTGAGGCGCACCGGGCTTTTAGACATATGGTGCCCCAGATCCTCATTCATCACGTCCCAGACTTTGACACCCCAAATCCCTCGCCAGTATAACACCACCAGACCTCTACAAACACCCGCAGTTATGGATACTATCAAGGTGACAGAGAGATCATCATTGAAAGTCGAATAACAGATGTACTGACCATCGCTCCAGAACACCATTGCCGAAAACTTTGGCGGGCCAGCCTCGAAGTTGGGGACTCACCAGTTCACCCTGGAGGAGTGCCCTGACTTGACCGGAAAGGTCGCCGTAGTTACCGGCGGCAGCGAAGGCATCGGCTACGGTGTTACTTACACCCTTCTCAAGAACAACATTGCCAAGGTCTATATCCTTTCCGTCTCCAAAGAAGTCGTCGACGGTGCCAAAGATGCCATCTCCAAGGAACTTGGCGCCGATAAGGCAGGCCGCACAAAATGGTTCCAGTGCGACATGGGAGATTGGAAGCGCGTCAAAGATGTTGCAGAGCAGATCAAGAACGACACGGACAGACTCGACATCGTGGTCAACAATGCCGCAAGGGGCATCATGACGTACCAGCTCACGGACTACGGCGTGGACCGTCACATGGCTGTCAACCACATGGGTCACGTCGTGCTCACATCACATTTGCTGCCGCTCATCAAGAAGACGGCAGAGAAAGGTGACATCGTGAGAATCGCCAACCAGGCCAGTAATGCGCATCAGGCCACGCCGAGCGATTGCAAGTTCGAAAGTCTTGAGGAGCTCAACCAGGACCTGGGCCCTAATGGACTATACGGCCGCAGCAAGCTCGCGGGTATCTTGTATGCGCGCTATTTCAACCGCAAAGTAACGCAGAACGGCCATCCGAATGTGTTGATGAACGCGACGCATCCCGGGTTCGTAAGTACAAAAATGAGCAAAGAGGACATTCTCGAGCCGTAAGTCACCACTACTTACCCTTATTTTAATGACCACCTGCTGATTGCCGTAGGTATCCCCTTGGAGGCTACGCGATGGCCGTCGGTATGGAGCCTTTCAAAAAGTCTCAATGGGAGGGCGCTGTCTCAATGGTTTATGCTGTGACTACGACCAAGGAATCGGGCCAATACATTTGCCCGCCCGCAGTACCTGAGCCAGGAAACAAGCTAGCCCAGGACGACGCGCTTGGAGACCAGCTAATGGAGTTGACACGGCAGATCATCACAGAGAAGACCAAGGCACAATCAGTTGACAAGGGTTGCCCGATGGATGACCTAGTCCTTCACTAATGGTACCGCTGCAGTGCAATTGGCTAGTTGACCGTAGTCTTCATATAATAAATTATCATGCAATTGCAATGCTTGCTGGATATCAATGCTTTCTATCTGTGAAACAATGAACCTTCTTTCCGCTTTTGATCAACGTCGCCCTCCAATCCAAACCCGCATCTGACCTCGCTGGGTGACCATACCATGCTCTGTCTGGGGTACCTTTCTCCTGTGTTCAACCCGTTATCCATGATGCTCTGATTAATAACACCGTAGCCAAGCTTCAGCTTCTTCACGTCATCCGGAACGTCGCCTTGGTCTCTATCGGGACCCTCCCAGTGTACCTTATCCAGCGCTGGCCCCCGCGTCGCAGCCACGACGCTCGAGAACCGTGTGTTTCTGAGGACGCCCCCGTTTTCCAGAACGGCTAGGGCACCAAGCGCGACCCCCGAGCTTGCTAACAGGATAGCGATAGCGTACACGATCCAAAGGTCTCGCGCGTGGTAGCTGTACATGTTAACCATCCGCGACCGCTGGCATGGGTACTCGTACGCAGAGTGATTGTGTTGGTCGCCGCCTAGGATCAGCCCCCCCGTGTTTTCGTCCGTCTGCGCGGCCCAGACCACGGGAAGGAACTGAGGGGTCGAAAATATAGAAAGGATCATGTCTTCATAGAACTCCTGCACCATATCTTGGAGATTGAAGACCGGGAAATAGTCATTTCTGGGGTCGAGAAGTTTGGTCTGGATAGCGTCTGTGTTTGCCACTGGGTTGGCGGACTGCTTGTTGACCTGGACGGTGCCATTGAGGAACTTGCGGAGCATGAAGCCCAATGAGTGGTACGCAGCAACGCGACGGTATCTCTCGACGTCTTGCGGCAGGACGTAGTTCTCTTTTGGAACTGCCGTGACGTTATCCGCCGTGCCGTCGTTGGCGTCGAGTCCGGGGATGAAGGTCGTGTTGATGATAGGTGCTAGAAACTTGTGCTTCTTCATGTATGCCGACTGCGTGGCGTCGGTGTAGTTGAAGACGGCGGTGTACTCTGTTTCGTAGTGTTCACATGCAAATATCTTGGGGACGTAGTTCATGCTCTCGTCTCCTTCCTTCCGAGACGCAGGGTGATCGGCGTCTGGCGGCACAACGTGGCCAATCCAGATGACCGGTTCTGTACGGAGAGCTCCCATGTGTTCCGGATAAGGCGGGTCCATCTTTGGGATACCTCCGATCTCGACATCTTTCATCTGCGTCGTGGAATATTCTCCTCCGCTTGTGAAGGCGTAATAAGCAAATGTTCCTTCAGGGAGGAGAATATCGGTTCCGAAGGGCGGCTTGGCCTCGCCGGATTGCTGCGTTAGGTTGGCCGGCTTGGCACCAATCCCTCTGGCTTGTTCGCTACATTTGTAACCCGGCGCCGTAAAATTAATTTCAAACGTGCAGTTCCACCCTTTCCTGCAAATCTCTATGGACGAGTTCTTTCTCGCCACGACTTCCTGGAGAAAAGCGCCAAGAGTGGCGGTCTGCTGGAAGTTGGGGCTCGGCCCTGTGTAATAGTCAAACCAACCTTCGGGCTCCGAGTCCGCAGGCTTTGTTGAGTTCCATATGGACAGCGGCATCTCATATCGGCCATCTATCTTGACGGGTGCCCGCCATTGGTAAGTATCCTCCTTTGCGAAGTTCAGGCTCCGTATGCCGGGACAAGTACCGTTTTCCACGATGGTTCTTGGCTCTACGAGAAGCGTGTTGGAAGTCAAAATGACTACGAGTGGAGAGAGCCTGGATGCTTCGGTAAATATACTGCTATGAATCCATCGAGAACGAGAGCTTGTGCGCATACTTACCAGACAAACATGGCTAGGGAAGCCGCTGCTTTGGCGCCTTTCAGAAAGTCCCAGGAAAGCAGAGCGATGAAGTTCTCCGTGGCAGCAAACATTGAGTCTAAGGCAGCAATGGTCATGAACCTAGACCTTACAGTTGTCCAGACGCGCTGCTGAAACGCCGATATCACAGCAGCACCCAAACTGGCCTTCGCCGCGAAGGCAAGGGCCGTTCCATAACGCAACATGCGCACCTGGTCCTCTGCAGGTTTTCCATCGAGGAAGTGATAGAAGACGTGATGCCCGATGGCGCAAGCGATGCCAAGGGCAAGCCAGAGATACATGTTCCATGATGTGTGCCAGCTGTAGTGGCGCTTTCTGGTGAGAAACGACTTGCTCCTTTCATGAGGCTGCCCTGAGCAGGTCGCCGCGATATATGGGGGTGGCTGAGCTGGCTGTGGATGCTGATACTGATGTTGCTGTCCCTGCGGCTGTGCGCCTGAAGACGCGAAAGAGTAGCCGTCGCCTGCCGTGTCTTGCGCATTTTGGAGTAGGCCGGCGCGCGCATCGTGATTGTGAACCGTGCCCCCCGCCGGCTCATCGGGTGAGCTGGAATCTCGGCCACCAAAAGCGGGATAAGCGCCGTAATGCGCCGATCCGCCAAGCGAGCTCAGGTCAACCCCGTGGTTATCCATCGGATTAGTCACCGTGTGCGTTGCCTCCGTGATAAATACGGTCGCGCCGACCTTCTTTGACGCTGGTGCTGAAGGGAAAGACACGGGTTTGTGAGGGATGGAGGTTGAGCGACCACGCCACCCCAACGGCGGAGGAGAAACCCTGGATGTTGGTTCCGGAGACACTGGCGACACTGCTGACGAGAGCCAATACGGTGGAGGATGCGCTAGTCTGCTGACACTGATGGAATCTGCTGAGGGATTGCGTCACGTTTCGTGGCGCTTTGGCTGGACGATTGGTTGGAATGCTGGCCTTTCTTGATGGCAATGTGCCTAGATACTCATCAATTGCCCTTGCATGTGGCACCTAACAATCACATTCAGACAAGACCAGTAAAGCCAACAAAAGCTTGGCGCGGCCGGTATCTTCGTATCCGTGTCTGGATCAGGGACCTAGATAGGCTTCACTGTGATTGTGTCGGTCTCTATGTGGATATGTTTGCTGAGTAGCAGAATCGCACAGGAACGGCTGTGGCATTCAATCTCCCACATTCGGTGACCCTATCACCTCTAGTTTTTCTCGATGTGAAGGCAGTTCGTCTCGTCTTTCTCACCCCAGAGTTTCCGCCGCAAACCCGATGCGACTGTGGGTTTTCTGTGTTGGTCGCTACCGGCGTCGAAGAATGGGGGGCGGGGAATGGCGACATAACCAGGCTTCAGAATTCTTGGATTGCAGAAGTGCTGATATGGATTTTCTTGTACGGGACCAGTGGACCATTATGTATGCAGGGATAGGTATTCGCGAAAATTTAGCAGATTGACTGAACCCTTGTCAGCGTCCAACCCCTTTTGAAATGATGTTAGTATCAGAGTCTCAATTCGGCACAGGCTGACACGACACCAACTACGCGCCTGGAGGCACAGCAGAAACGTGTCCCTTGTAAATCCCTTGATGTCGCTCTGCTCACTCCAGTGGCCAATGACACAACTCCATTGGGCAGCTGAGTGAATGATGCATCATGTCGTTCGTTCCAGACCTCCTGGCTCGTATGCAGGTGAGCATATAATCAGACAGCAAATGATAAATCTATTGCGCCTGAATAAGGTTCCTCCCTATGCCAAGACGACGGAGCTGGGTCCCGAACGATGAATGTTGTTTTTAGACAAATAAGTACAGTATATCCGTACATGCTATTCAGCTTACCACAGAGAATAGAACCTTTCTCCAGCCCGCTCCTCATGCTCAAGAATCTACTCCGGATCCTCAACCCATGCTCCGCCCATGTCCTCTATGCCCAATTTCATCAATCCACCGTAGTTTTTCCCGTCCTCAATACTGTTAAAGCGTTTCGCAGCGCGTGAGTCGATGAGCCAGACGTTCGCGCCCTCGTAAAGTGGCTTGCGAGCCTCTGAAATGCGTTTAACGTATGCCCCAAAAGAGTAAACATGGCGCCCTTACGTCAGGCAACCTACAAGTCTTTCCTCACGAGTTTCCAGTACAACATGCAGTGGTTTCTCGGGCAGTGCTGCAAGCGAGCGGAGAGAGCCCTCATCAATAATCAGGAACTTACAGAATCTCGGACCAGCCTCGCAACCGTCCTCCATATCGACATCGGCCAGGGTCCTACCACGTCATGTCTCAAAAATTCCGACCAGCGACTTGATGTCGTCCCAGCTCTCATCCGGGACGCTCCAAACTATTTCAGGTATTGAGTCACCCAGCGACACATTTTATCAAGCGCCCCTTGCCACAGGTTGTGAGATTCGTGTGAGGACGTGGTGCGCAGGACTTGAGGTGGTGTGTCAGTCTGAACAAGACTTTCTGTCATATACCAAGAATAGCAATCTTCTAGGAGTATCCGTACCTACGCAGATATCGGGCCAGATGCCAGCGGGTCTGAAAGCGCCCCACTCGGCTGGCTAACCAAAGTAGGTCCACCAGCCCCCGCTTATGTCAGCTAAGCTTCAGCGTCACGTGCTTTTGACTTACGTCAGCCAATCTAAGCCCCTTGCCAGCCATTTGTCTCAGTTCCTGTTCGTGGGTCGATACCGGACTATCCGATTAAACAAGCCCATCACACGTAGTACAGGGTGGCAGGGGTAAGTCTTTTACCCCTATGATATTATGGTACCCCCCACAGCTGATATCATAATAGAAGGGGAATATTCACCAAAAGTGAAGTCTTGCAGTAGGGGGTGAACATTAGTTACCTAACCGGGGTAAAAAAACTTCGGCCTGGTACCATAGTATGATGTGTAACTTTGTTGCTTACTTCGTCGCGTTATTAGAATCTCACATCTTTACACATATTGATATCTGAAGGGGCATACATCACACCTAGCCAGATGTAAGACTGACTATATCAGGAGCAAAGATCCTCCTCCGCTTGTCAAATCCCAGACGACAATCGTAGCAGTACACCCACCCCGTAGTCCACGTTAACCGTTGACTGTACGTCTTCAATCATGGCGTCCCGCGATGGTAATTTTCCTCTGGCAGGACTGCTCAAGTCCGTTCTTTGGTCCGTTTCAACCCGCGGAGTAACCTTGTTCATGGTTGTAATCGTCGTGTGGTACATAAAGTCGTGGTACAGATTGCGACACATTCCTGGTCCACTCCTCAACTCCATCTCGATCGCACCCATGAACTTGATGACCCTCGGCGGAAAACTAAGTTTCAAACTGAAGGACCTGGGTGATAAATACGGTAAGGCCGAGCAAGTTGAATGATCACACTTTACACATCTCATAACAGTTTCTCCAGGCCCTTTGGTTCGCGTTGGTCCAAACGAGGTGCTATTCGGTGATGCCGACAGCTACCGCATCATCTCGGCGGTTCGCTCAGACTTTGTTAAAGGCCCATGGTACGCCCTGTCCAAGGTTGTTCCAGATCAGGACAGCCTGTTCTCCCTGCGAGACGACCAAGAACGGAAAGAGTTGAAGGCCAAGTTGAGTCCAGGCGTTCGTTTCTCTGATTGATCCATGTGCTGTACTTGTCTCAACCTGACCGCGTTCATAGTATTCTGGACGCGAAAACGGTGGTTTCGAACCTGGTGTTGACAGGGTCGTGGCGCAATTCATCAGCCTCATCAAGTCCAAGTACATATCGACGTCAGACAACTTCTGCCCGATTGAGTTTTCTCACAAGTCTCAATACTTTGCGCTCGATGTCGTGAGCGAAATCTCGTTTGGAGAGGCTTTGGGATTTCTAGCTGAAGACAAGGACTTGTTCGGTTATGTCGAGACGAATGACCAAATATTCCCAGTTCTTGCGATCATGCTAAATATGCCATGGCTAGGCATCATGATGCAACGGTGGCCACTCAACAAGCTGCTTCCCTTCGAAAGCGACAAGTTTGGCTTTGGACGCCTGATGGGGTAAGATCACGCCACCAGTTCATTAAGGGGTTCGCAGTGCTCACGTTCTATAGCATGGCGAAGAGCCTGGTGAACAAAAGTTTGGCTGTGGGGCCAGGTGAAAACCACATGATACACAGTCACCTGCGCAATGGGGTAACTTATAAGGAACTCCTGGCGGAGATTTTTCTCGAGCTGTAAGCCGAAACCTACAGGTTACACCAGCAAATTCATCTGTTAGTACTGACACCTTTGTACAGGATAGCCGGGTCTGATTCAACGGCAACAGCGATACGCATGACCATGCTCTGTCTCCTCACCACACCAACAGCTCTGAGCCATCTCCGTCAAGAAATTGCCACCGGAATCGCAAAGGGATTCATCAGTTCCCCAATTCGCGACGCTGAGGCTCGCCAGCTTCCTTACCTTCAAGCTGTTATCAAAGAAGGGCTACGCCTGTATCCGCCATCTACCGGTCTGAATTATAAGCAAGTCGCCAGGGGGGGTACGAAGCTCTTCGGACAATTCCTGCCAGAAGGAACGCAGCTGGGTGTCAATATACAAAAGATTATGAGATCAAAGGAGACGTTCGGACAAGACGCGGACGTCTTCAGACCGGAGCGCTGGCTGGAAGCTGCTGAGGACGGTGAGCGCTTCCGAGAAATGACCAGCGTAGTTGATCTAGCTTTCGGCCACGGGCGGTTTCAATGTCTCGGCAAGACCATTGCAGCCATGGAACTGAACAAGATATTTGTCGAGGTGAGTAGTAGGCATCCTGGAAAGCGTGCTTATTTTGACCATAGCTAAACTTCGACATCTCACAGCTGTTGCGGAGGTTTGACTTTGCCGTCGTCAGACCACAAGAGCCGCTAAGACTTTACGATGCAGCCTTCTGGGTAACAACTGACTTTTGGTTGCGAGTGACTGAGACAAAACCGGCCAGGTAGATCAATGTGACGCAGTGAGTACCACCCCGGGGTAATGCTGTCATAATCGCAAATTTAATCCATCGTTGATGACGATGCCAAACAAATGAGCGAAAAGTAATGATAAATAAATAAGGTTGTGTTGCATAGCCGCATTAACATAAGTTTATAGTCAATTAGCAACTTAATACTTTCAGCCAAATGGAGAAAGAGGCACCTAGAGACGACGGAACGACGGTAGCAACAAATGAACCGCGTTTTGATCTTCAGGCACCAAGTCTCAATCCAGGAAGGTAAGAAGTCCAGAGAGTCGAAATATAAGGATTACTCACCATCCTCAAGGACTAAGAGATCATCTCCTGTGTTGCGTAACTCTGTGTCATCCTACAGGTGATAAAGTCAAGAACTACCACTTAAATAGAAGGATAAAGGCTAGGAAAAGTGTATTTTTAAGTTAGTGAACTAAGGGAAGTCTCAAGAATAAGGCAACATCCTGCTCCATAAGACAAACCTATAATAATTAGGACAACGACCAAATACGTAATCAAAGCTACAACAAACAGCTATGTTTTTTTCCTTACATCCGGTGCAATAGAGGGGCGTTATCAAGGCAGATCGTGGACCTTTGACCATTGCATCTACAACTGGATCAAACCGTAGGGAACCTCGATATTATCCATGATGGATGACAAAAATGTATTCATGTCAATCGCTGACGGGAATTGAGCCCGACGTGGGGGTCGAACCCACAACCTTGAGATTAAGAGTCTCACGCTCTACCGATTGAGCTAGCCGGGCAGATGGAACATCTGCCTTGGACGGTTGGTAGTTATGCAGTAAGAGATAATTCTAAAGGGTTCATTCAAAGTTAGTAAAATTTTCACAGAGTTGTGGAGTTCTCTCTCCCAAGCTCCACTATCGTAACCTCTGAGCCGTAGACCACGGCTTTCGGGGGGTCCGTTCCTGTACCGGCTGTGGGGATGAGCAGTGGCCCTCGAGCCGGGGCTCCGGGAACTCAATACTTCGCGTAACTGCGACGCATGCAATACTCGCGCTACATTCCCTAATATGTCGCGCTAAAAACGACGCCGTTAGTCGCAGCAACACAACTAACGCCTTATATCACATCGTGACACCCTAGTATGCCATACATAGGTTTTGTTCATTCGTTTCTTGTTTGGCCGGTGTACTTATAGGCCGAAACATCGGGCCTACCTTAGACGATACTCATGGCAAACGTGTTTCTGTGGTGCCTGAGGGCGTCTGGTTTCCAACAGGGCTATTTGCGATTAAGGCCACAGCTCACCCGGACTTGTTTGGGCAAAATTCCTCATGTGAGAGACCGCAACGGACTACCCTTCTGCTATGCTGGCTGGCTCAAGAAACCACATTTTCACCGAGATTTCGTAATAGTGTCGCACAAACGAATTCTTCTACTATGTGTGATGGGTATATTCAACCGGATTGTCTGGTATTAACCCACAGACAGGGACTGAGTGGAAACTCAAACGTCTGACATAAGTCAAAGGCACGTGACGAGAACAGAATTGAGCAGAGCTCACTTAAGCTAGAGTGTAAGTCTAATGAATTTAGGCTCTTTGGTTGGCTTGCGAAGTGGTGTGCTCACTAGTACCTGAACAAAGGGGTTTCATTTTGGCCTGGGACCGTAGTTGACAAGCAATTCTAAAGAGTAAAACCACCATACTAACTCGAGGGACCCAATGGATTCACGGCAGCTTATCTGGTCCTACTATTGTGCCGTTGTTTAGGAGGAACAGCTCTTTAGTGTATACTCAAAGACATGTTGACGTCCCCATGCTCATATCCAGGTTGACTACGCCCGTGTGCCACCAGCTTACGAGTGTACATGATCAATGAAGCTACCCCGCCAATAATTCTTGGCATTCTGCGTTCTCTAGTACTAACAAGGCAGGTCAATTACTTTTTCAAGCAATAGATCTTGCTGTTTTACGCCATCTTACTGCATGTTTCTCCCCCACTCCACACCGTAGATTGGGGTAGCAAGGCTGGGATCTCTACCAAATCGGCTAACTCGCCCCAATGATCCGACCCATTGTAGCAAGAATGACGAAATGTGTTTTCTAAATCAGTTGTAATCGGTGCAAGTCTGCATGTTGGAATTGGATGTCAGCTGCGTCAGCTGCAGTTTCCAGCACCTCGCGCGAATTACACAAAGTCCTTGCGCAATGGCATCACCTGGCTTACCAAGGTCAGCTAGAATGATGACCATGTGCATGATGCATTCGAGAAGGATTCCCATATTATGCACTCAGAAGCTATAAAAACGACAGCAGATGTCTTCTACCCGCGCGAACTCTTGGGCAACTGCCATCGATCGACTTTGCAAAGCTTGCAAAGCACCGATTGAGCCACGTTGGTCAAATCCACTGCATCCTGTCAAACATGCGTGGCCAACTCTCTATTGCCCTGGCGTTCTCGGGGCTTGCCTTGGCTTGTCAGCGAGATCTTGTTCTCGAACGTCGGTACACACACCGCAAACCAATCACTAAGCGCGCCGACGACCAATGGCCCCCTATTCTGTCAGAGGAAGAGACCGTCTTGGTTAACGCTTTCGACAACGTCACCATTGATGAATGGTCTGACTATTACGGCCACCAGGTCAAGCTCGCTGGACTTGGTAAAGAGGCCGCGCAGTGGACTGCAGAACAGTGGACCAAGAATGGGTTTGACGCGCATCTCAAGGAGTACCATGTTTACTTGAGCTACCCCGTCCACGCCTCTTTGAAGCTTACTTATGCCAATGGAACGACCAGTGCAGTTAGCCTAGATGAGGATGTCCTAGAGGAGGACGATGTGACGGGAAGAGAGGACAACCAGCCTACGTTTCATGGATACTCTGCTTCAGGCAACGTGACGGGAGAATACGTCTACGTTGGGTTAGTGCCATCTCTATTTTCTTTTTGCTATAGGCCGCAATACGGAGCTAACGGAGTCTGAAGACAAGGGTCGCAAGCCGATTTTGCTCGTCTGGTCGACCTTGGGGTTGAGCTTGAAGGCAAGATTGCGCTCGCTAGATATGGTGGACTCTTCCGAGGTTTGAAAGTGAAAAATGCACAAGATCACGGCATGATCGGTGCTGTGATTTTCACCGACCCCGGTGATGATGGAAACCAGACCGTGGCAAACGGCTATGAAGCCTACCCCAGTATGCTTGATTGGATTTCTCCCGTGCAGGCCCTCAACATACTAACTACATGTCGTATAGATGGCCCAGCTAGACACCCCAGTGCGGTTCAAAAGGGTTCAGTGTTGTTTCTGTCTACTTCCCCCGGCGACCCCACGACTCCAGGTTACCCTTCCCATGAAGGCGTCGACCGAGCTGATGTCTCTCCAGTCACCCCAAAAATCCCCTCCATACCCATTTCCTACGCATCTGTCGAGCCCCTGTTACAAGCTCTTAACGGATTTGGCGTATCCGCCGAGAAGGTTAACAGGACAGTTTGGGCGGGCGCTCTGAACGCCAGTTATAGCTCTGGACCTGCTCCGGGTGTCACTCTGCACCTCGACAACTTGATGGAAGGCAAAATCACGCCCATATGGAATGTCATTGGTCATCTTAACGGAACCAACGCCGACGAGACGATCGTCATCGGGAATCATCGCGACACCTGGATGATTGGAGGCAACGGAGATCCCAACTCTGGCTCTGCCATCCTTGTGGAGTTTACCAAAGCCGTCAATACTTTAGTCTTGAAGGGATGGAAACCTAGAAGGAATATGTGAGTGCTGTGATGATACAATCGAACCTTTGGCTAGCTCTGATAATCGTTATCTAGAGTCTTAGCTTCCTGGGATGCCGAGGAATACGGTCTTGTTGGCAGTACGGAGTGGGTCGAGGACAACGTCGATTGGCTCACCGAGACAGCCGTGGCCTATCTAAACATTGACGTAGCAGTTTCTGGTCCAAGGCCAAACCTGGCTACCACGCCTGAGTTGCACACTATCGGAACGGAGCTCTTCAAAAAGGTCATCTACCCCAACTTTGGCGGCTTCAACATCAGCCTCTACGATGCTTGGGAAGCGGCCTCCGGCGGTATCGTTGAGGCCCTTGGTAGCGGCAGTGACTACACTGGCTTCTTGCACCGGGGAATCAGCTCAGTAAGTGAACGATAAACCGATCCTGAAGTGGGTATACTTGCGACCATTGCTAAAATCTTCCAGCTTGACGTAGGATCCGGGGGCGGTACGACCGATCCCATCTGGCATTACCACAGCAACTATGACAGCTATCATTGGATGGCGAACTTTGGCGATCCCGGTTTTCTTGTTCACTCAGCCATGGGACAGTACCTTGCCCTACTCGCTTTCCACTTGGCTGACGATGAAATTTTGCCCCTCGATTTGCCCAATTACGCCACCGAGCTGCGTTCGTATCTTGAGGACTTGGCTGAGTATGCCGAATCGGAGGGCACGGAGATTGATCTTTCGGAGTTATCTGATGCCATTGATGTCTTTTCTACGCGTGCCGATGAGGTCAAGGCATTGGAGCAACTGGCTATCACGACAAATGACACAGGCCTAATCTCGGTTGTCAACCACAAGTACCGAGACTTTCAAAGGGGTTTTATCAGCCAAGGTGGCCTTCCCGGCCGGGAGTTTTATAAGCATGTTGTAACTGCACCTGGATTGGACACAGGTAAGTGCTATAAAGTTGCTGAAAGGAGTAGCTTCTGATTCCGTTTGACAGGATATGCCGCTGTCCTGTTCCCCGGTATCACAGAGGGCATACAATATGGCAACGGTAACCTGACGGTAGCGAATGAGTGGGTATCTAAGACGGCACGCGGCATCATCCAAGCTGCAGAGATCCTCAAAACTTGATTTGTCGACAAGGCATGAACAAAGCGAATTTTCTTTCCCGACGGCGAGCGGGAATAACCATGCTTTTGGTGTATGCGGTGGTTTTTTGTAAAAGCTGGGAGGACGCGTACTCTAAGCTTCAATGGACGACGTGCTAGTAGTGGGAAACGTGGAGCCAACTTGCGATACCCTCCTTTCGAAGTATTGAAATAACATATCTGAACCCAGCGATGAAAGAGATTGCACAAGCGTTGAAGACTTTAGTTGCAAATTTTGATAGAGTGAACAATTTAACCCCTAATTTGCTGAAAAGTTGAATGTAGACTTGCTAACATTGTCATGTTGCCTGTTGTCAGACATGCATATATTTCATATGCGGTGCCCCGATTTCGAAGCAGTCTTTCCTCCTTTTCTTGTCATCCTCCCTTGATTAATGATGTACGATCAACACGTTGTTCCGGTAATACCAGTTTCGGTATCAATCGATCTAACTTGGCGATTTCTGAGCTGCTTTGATCATTACTTAAGGGCCCTTGACTGAGTACATGAGAACTTGTCACTATCGAGTAAAAAAAGACACTGCGATGATGGCATCCCGTTGGTTGCCTGGGTGACCCCAGACCTTCCCAGTGAAATCAGCATGCGCCGGATCTTTGATTCTTTTGCCGACGGCTAAAGACTTAGGGTGAATCAATGATACACAATGGTGCTGCTAACGCGGTGCTCCATCGCAAATGTTGCGCCAGGACCTATGTGTCGCTTCGGAGCAGGCTACTGACAACTTCAGACTAAACACATAGTGACCTGTTGTGCTTCACCTAGGCTCCCGTCGCCGTGCGACACCATCGGTGGTTCATTGCCGGTTGAACTTTGGAAGTGCTGTCCGACAATGCACGTATCACAAGGCTAGAAAGTGCTACAGCGTAACCAAATAAGGGCATCTCAAAAGGACTACCTCGTAGTCATATGATCAAAAACACGTTCAGTTAATCTCCCTCCTTCAACATAAACAGCTTTGGTAACGGTGACGAAGCTAGATGGCGTAACATGGTTTGTTGGTGGATGCGCCGCAAGCCGTCTTGGCGACAATGATTTCCCACGACATGAAGGTCCGCGGTGGTCCACCGAGCATTTGACGGCACCTTGACGGCCTGCGATTCGATTACTTGTCGCAACGAGATGAACGCACTGTTACCTACATGTATTGAATGCCGAACGCCCCTTCAAGTCGGCAGCGAATCTTTTGTCACGAGCAGATCGGAAGCCGGAGCAATCGACAGGCAGCACGATTTTATAAACTAGCGGGCGGAGACGAATGCCTTTTGTCTGTCAACTGTTTCCAGTGGTTGCGTGACCGATCTGTCGAGATTCCTAAGTGGCAGATCCCCTTCGGATGTCCGAAGAATTTGACAAGCATGGACAACGGCGGAGAGCCGACAAACACAAACAAACCTTCGCATTCTCCGACTCTCTACCGAGCGAACACGATTGTTTAGCAGGGCTCAGCCTAGAGGTGCCAGGACGGCACGGTTGCTCGTCTGAGAGGCCCAAAACGGGCCACTATTGCGACTTGTCATTCATTATATAATAGTTTGGTCTTGGGATGCTTCAATTGCCGTTTTAGAATCCACATATGCCCAGGGGTGTTCCGTTTGGATCGGTACTTAAGCCCTTTTGGGAGTTTCTGTTACCCAATACATAGGACGTGGAACCCAACATCAAGTAGTAGCGAGATGCAGTTGACACTGAATCTCCGCGGCAGATGTGGCTATTAAAGGTCAAGTCAAATTCCAATACTAATTAACGTGGTAGTAGTCGATCTACCCGTACTTATCTTCCGTTATTCGTTGCAAATCGCTAGCGTATGTTTGGTATGCCGATTTTTATTGACGTGTTCGCACCACAAGGGCTTGTGCCTCATGACCTCTAGCGTCAACCAGTTTTGCGTCGCTCTTTGTTCGACAGTTACCACTCAAAAGAAGACGGGTCCCCTGTCTCTACCCTATTGCATCGAGAAATTCGAGCAGGATAACGGATATCGCCTTTGGAATTAACATCATTTGAGAGAGAGCAGCCTCCGTATACCCCTGGCGAACGCGGTTCCGTACCCCGGGCTTGGCACAATGATCCGGTCCCAGATGTTGCGCTGCGACCCACGACAATGGAACTTCGACATTGATCGATTCATCAACCCATTCATCCCGCATCCGCCATGGGAGCACCTCCCTTATCCCATAGCACACTTCTTCGGCTATCGTAAGGCTAAGCCCGGCAATGCTGGCAACGTCGTTCCCATACTCTGGGCCTGCATTGGCGTCTTCTGCGGCGTCGCCGTAGTCGCCGTCGTCTCTCGCCAGATACCAGTTTTCAGGGAGCACGGTGCACCAATAATCGTGGGCAGTTTTGTAAGCCAAGCCCCTTTTCCTAGCTCCACGCGGTTCCCACCTCTCCTACACCGAGAATGTTACGGAGGGCATCATCAAGGTCCTGCCCCGGACTTCGATATTCAAGCCGTTTCATGCCCCGCATGTGACGATACACCGCTTCCACATCACTTCCTCACCGACGATGACGTGACCAATGGCTGACTCGCTACTCTCTTCTTGTCGCAGGGTGCGGCCGCCGTCTTAGAGTTTTACTCGATCGAGTCACCCCTCGCTCAGCCCCGCAACTCAGTTTTCGGCCAAGTCCTCGCCGCCTTGGTAGGGGTTGCGATCTGCAAGCTGCTTCAGCTGAGCCCCCATTTCGAGTCTATACGCTGGCTCGGGGGGGGCTTGTCCTGCGCCTTGGCGACCACCGTGATGGCGCTTACGAAGACTGTCCACCCTCCTGCCGGTGCGACAGCGCTGCTGGCCGTGGTTGATGATGGGATTGTCCGTCTGGGATGGATTTTGGTGCCCATTGTCACATTTGGAAGTGTCATCATGCTTGTCGTTGCATTAATCATCAACAACCTTCAGCGGTGCTTTCCGCAATATTGGTGGACGCCCGAGGACCTTAGGGTTTGCACCGTGCCCTGGCGGCGTAGAGGTGATTTAGAGAGCAGGGAGGATGTTGCATTCGACGGAATCGAGACGCGGAGTAGCGGGAGTGAATCCACGGCGAAGGAAGACGCAGTATTAATCATGAGGCCAGGGGAGGTAGTTGTCCCCAAACACTTGTTTATCACGCCGGAGGAGAAGATGTTCTTAGAAGGATTAAGTAACAGACTTTAGATGGCTCGCATCATCAGCCAACATGTGTAATACTTACAGGATACTAGAAAAATTACATTTTGACCTGTTCATGAAAGACGTTTCTGTTCATGGTTTGTTTCATTCTCTATATTCATGTGCCAGCATTCCAAGTGATATCTCGTTATAAAACTGTAGTTGAACCCTGGTATTTTCCTTCGTTTAGAAGGGAAGTAAACCCTCATGCTGCGAGGCCATTTTACTTGTGAAACGCTGCAAAAAAATACAATCGATTACCACCGAATTGCCCATTATCCACGTCCATTGCCCCTCATTATATCATGGCATGTCTGTCGTAGGATAAAGTAGTTGTCTGTTCTCAACCCTGCTTGGACCTGGTACGAGCCAAACGCAACTCCTCCATCTTTGCGGGGTTCTTGGTTGGGTCATTCTCCGCGTCACCATCAGCGCCTGGGTTGGCCATCTCATACTCCAAGATCTTAATGAACTTGTAGAAGACGACAGCAATCAAAGTACCAAAGAATGGTCCAATCCCTGAAAACAAGATTAGCTTCCTGTATGAGCAGAGCCTTATGGATGGTAATTAAACTCACAGTAAATCCAGTGTTCCTGCTCGAAGGTTGCAGTGATGACGCAGGGTCCAAAGCTTCGAGCTGGGTTGAGTGAGCCTCCAGTAAACTGCACACCCACCAACTCTGCGATGAATAGAGTCAGACCAATGCCAACAGGGGCAATGAAAGTGGCTCTATGCTTTTCTTTCGCGAGCATGAAAATGGTGAAAACCAGTTCGGCTGTCAAGATAGCCTCGATGAAGACACCCTGAACCAGCGTGGCTCCGCCGCCCAATTTCGTACGAACATCGAAGTTCTCCGGGAACAGAAACCTGACAATAAGTGACGCTAGCATTCCTCCTAAGAGTTGGGCGATGAAAAGATAAACCGCCCGCGCTGCGTTGATGGCCTTGACAAGATACATGCCGAGCGTGACGGCTGGATTGAACAGGCCGCCGCTGATGCGGAAGAAGATCCAGACGTTGACCATGAGAGAGAATCCAAAGATGATTGAGATGTAGAGAAGGGTGCCAGCGTTCATGCCAGCAGAGGCTCCGTTGCTGCCGGCCGGCTTAATGTTGGCGACCTCCGTTCCGGCGAAGGCGAAAAAGAGGAACATTGTCGTGCCAACAAGCTCACCAAGACTGGCGACAAAGTGGTTCTTCAAGTCCGAGTTCATCCATTGGGTTAGGGGCAGGCGCATAACCTGTGCCTTCTCTTCCCTGGATAAGTTGTGCCAGTCGATCCGGGCCTGGTCTCCGTTGGTGCTGCGGACAGCAACACCGCTCCGGGGGTAGCCCGCCATTTCTTCGTCGTACATTCTGCGAGATGGGGGTCTACCGCCGTAGTCACCAGGCTCGTAGGACCGAGTCTCCTCGAAGTAGTCCTTAGTGTCCGTCTGCGAGTCGTAGTTGAAGTAAGGTTGAGAACGGTTGAGGTGTGCGCGAGGTGGACGAGTGCGAGGTGCACGACCGCCGCTGTAGTCTGGGTGGCGATCGTTGGGTCCCCAGTATCGGTCAGTGTCCGAATCCTCTTCGTATTCTCCGAAGCGGCCGCCGTCTCTCAGGGGACGATTGGACTTGGTTGAGTTACCGGTACGCAAAGGCTCTTCAATGGAGTCTCTTCCCCCACGACCTGTATTGGTATTTGCGCGACGGGCTGTTCGTGAACCACCTCTTGAGTTCTGTCGGGAATGTGAGGCGAATTTGGATTGTACTGGGTTCTCTTCGTCCGAGTAGCCATGAGGGTCGACTGCTGTTGCTGGTGATACCGGTGAGGGCTCGCCCTCGGGGACTTTCAGGTGTCCTGTCTGCTCTCCCGACATACTATTTCGAATACGGGTGTCAAGGGCAGAGCCGAGGGATGAAGTATTATAGACGGAAGGGGGAGTTGAGGTGTTAAGTGCACTGTCTTGAAGCCAGATGCTTGGGATATCTGGGAAAGGGTTGATTTATGTCGTCTGGTGTCAAAACCGACTAGAGGTTCAAAACATGCTCCGAAGATGTCCGAACCCATAATATATCTTCCATTCGAACTCAAGTGGGATGCCCAACCAGCCTCCCACTTGCTCGACGTCACCGCATCTTCGGTTAGTTAGGCCATGATCCGCTCCGTCTGATCAGCCACCAATTTAGTTTCGACAGGGACTGCGGGCACGTTGGACTGCAGAAGTGGCAGTGGTGGGATGGAGGATTCGACAAGGTACCGTTGAGCCTCGTTGTCGTCTGCCTACCTTGAACCCGCGGGGGTCGCCGATTTCATGGGCATGAGTCGTCAAGAGGCCCGAGGTGGCTCAGTGAGATACCCATGGGTTATCCCTGTGTTGATCTTATGCGATGCGATCGAGTGCGTTGTCGGGTCTGACTTACAAGAAGCTACGGCGGCAGTGTGCGTTATGAGAGAAATTTGAGCCATGATCCTAGGCTGGTGACGTCAAAGTCGGATCGGTGTGATGGGAACACTTCAACCCATGTCCACAGGGACTATGGACCTGGGTGAAACAAGCTCCGATTTTGAGGCGAATGGGGCATTGTGGCGTCTGTGTGATTATGGTTGGACTCATAAACTAAATCTTAATGTGTTGAAGAAGCTGGGATCATCGCCGTTTCAACTCAGGAGACCCAAGCCACTAATGCGCCATTCTTGACACGTCGACTGCAGTATCCTTGCGCGACAGCTTCACGATTGTGTCCCTTATTGTGGGATCCTGGAGAGATCGGAAGACGCTAGTCACCATTCTTGAACACCCATTAGCAACTCTAGATACCGGTACATGGACTGAGAGTCGTCTCAAATTTGAATAAGACGATTCATAACCTGAGAGTAGTGTCATCTCTCCGGTTACCGGCAGTATTGGGCTGAATCACGCAGCCTTGAATATGAGGAGGGTATTTAACACTGATAGTTTGGAACGACGCAGTGCTACACCACCATTTTGGCTGTGTGGCTGATCTGTGACTGACCCTTGATGCAGCTGATCGGCCAACTCTAGAAGAGGTCCGAGAGGTTGCGCAAGCCATTTATATCCTGAAGTGGACAGCTTTCTTAAGGAAGATGGAGGAGTACAATGGGGGTTACAGTGAGATAGCGTTGAAAGATGCGATGCTGGTGTCACTCGGGTGAGAAGCACACTGTATAGAGCCACGAAAAAACCTGGGAGGGGTCATGCTTCTCAAAGTCCATTCCCTTCTCCCCTCTAATATGTCTCCGTTGGGCCGGCTTCTAGTCACGGTTTTTTGATGTTCTTCACAGAAGTGCAGAGGTGAAGAAGACCGAGGGAGCCAAGGTTCACCGTCCTATATATCACTATAAAGTCGTGAAGTAAGTCGGAGAAGATGATGTGAAACGTATCCAGTCACCAAGGCTTGGTATGTATTGTATAATTGAGGCTGGCCAAACTCACTCGGTCCATCTCGCTACATAATAAGGAAGAGGCGTCTTCTGCTTTGACTTTGTTTCCATCCACTGTCTCAAGATATGAGCTCTTTTGCCTATTTGATTACAAAGGGCAAGGTTTCCTCCAATGTAATGGTGGGAAGCTCGTGAATAATCTTCACGAATTCCCTGGCATCCCCTGCAATCGAAGCCTCACCACAACAGAGTAAGGTGCAAGTATCCTAGCTTTGTGTACTGTTGTTCAGAAGGATTAAAGCCGAGAAACGTCATATTTAGAGACGGAAAGTCGAGGGGCTGGGTATGTACAGCTTTAAGAGCATCCACCTCGGAGATCCTATGTGGCCCTGTTCACTCCCGTGGTCTCTTTCAACACGTGCTCTGTCTCCATTTCTCACGGGCCCGCTGTATCATGTTTCCAGGAATAGGCGTATTAATCTAACAATGATACAGTATCACTCCGCTCGGAGGGCGGAACATGCGGTTGCCAAGCGGCAAAACGGGCGCGACAGCCCCTTTCTCCAGTCTTCTCGGCATTTTGTCAGACAAGATGAAAGGACCAATGGATTATGATTATAGCAGATTTCATTAAGCCGCGAGTGAGATAACGGAGTGACCTCTGTAGGCTGTAAGCAATCTGTATACGTTGTGAGAAGTCCTTCACTTGCTGCCGCTGGACACCTGACTTTGTGGCTGGATGTAAAGTCAGGTTATTGCAGACGATTGCAGCTTCTCCACTATTACCACGACACACGATCTTCTAGGGGTACACCGGCGGCAGGCAGACTGTGGCGAGGATTCAGTAATCATGACACTAAGTTTCGAGCTTCCCACCCTCTTCACAGCTTCTGACCCAGTTTTGTTAGAAGTTCAATCTGCTGGCTTGGGTTGACTCGAGATTGTGTGGCTGGTCACTGCAGGTCATGAGGTTGGGGGAACGGCAACAACCTTTGGACCAACCGATACCTCCACCTCGGATCTGTCAGAAGCCCCATAATGTACAGAATGACCTACCCTTTCGGAATGGGTGTTGCCAGGATATTTTCTTCCGACGTACAATGACTAATTGGAGCAAGGCGTTTAGATTGGTTGCACGGTTCAACCGGCCCAAGGAGGCTGGTTGCGAAAATGATTCGCATCTCTGACTGAACGTTGGCATTCCCTTGCTCAAATTCAGTGGAATGGACCTGGAATCCTTGACCAGTACTTTCGCCAGCTCATGCCATAATGACTTTCGATAATTCGGGGCTTAGTTGAGAGGGCCAATGCCGACAATTAATGGAATTCAAATGGCTGGTCCAGACCGCTATTTGATAAATACTACATATGACCCTAAAGCACATCGACGGCCCGTAAGTAATGTGAGATTCCGTCGATCGAATATACTCGCCTGCATCGGTAAGTCATCATGTTGATCATGATGGGCTCAAACAGACCTGCGCTTTCCTAGAAGTTCCAGCAGGTCGGTGGTGAGGAGAGGCTTGGCCTCCTTTTGCTTTTCACCTCGAGGCCAGTGCAACCCCCAAAGAGATCCACTGAAGCGACATACTCGATGTTGAGGGTCAAGGGATAGGGGTGTATACTCTTTCCATTAATATGTAAGGCCCCTACGCCACAAAGACAGTGAGGCTTAGTCACGAACGTCGATCCAAGGCCTCAGACTTGGTGGCTAATGCTCCTTGTGGCTTTTAGGCCAGGGTTTGGGCGTTTGGGCATCAATTATCTGATCTTCAAAACCCAGGCGGCCATAATAAAGACGCCAGACATTTATGTGGTATTGCCAATGACGTACTGTAGGTTTCTTTGATATCGGGAAAATGGAACCCGAAAGCTTTGGTCTCTTAAACATAATGAGTCCGGAAGGTTCTCAATTGGATACTGCAATCGCCGCACCCTCTCTGACACTTCTATTGGTTCCTGAAAGTGTCTGCATGATCGATACGCTATTAATCAGAAAATCCACCGCTTAGAGTGAAAGTATTCCACCGTCGGTTCAGTCAACGCCGTTCGGATATGTCCAAAAGGCTCGACGACATAGTTGGGAAAGTAAAACAAAATTCTTAGTCTTTTCTAATTCGTTATATTAATACGGATCAGACTTTGACGGTGAGTTTAACACTGATCGACAGTTGATACTCCAGAAAAAAGATATCCGGTAGATGCTATCAACAAAGTGGGTTATTCTTCGTGTAACACCTGGAAGAAGAATCTTGAGCACGTGAAAGGTCTAGAGCCGAAAACCTACCAGCCATGCACCATCTCGTTGAAACTCCCAACAGGTTAGCCTCTCTGAGTCTATTGCTATTCTTGTTTTTAAAACTCTGTCAATGAAAGCTCCAATCAAAGAAACCAATCAAATGTCGAGAAACACCGCAGCTCGCTCCAAATTGGGATATGGGATGAGTTCAAAATTCAGTGAATGAGGCCTCAGGCCCAGGAAAGCTTGCGACGGAACCGTAAAAGCTAAACTTGCTGTATCGACTTGTGCGTTCGTACCTACAGCTTATCTCAGTTCGGATCGTGCCGAAATACACGCCTGAGACTTGTCAATCCCGGAGTCATTGGTGTTTGGTTTCTGAGAAAGAGATCTACCTTGTTAGATATCTACACATGCCGTTGAATTCTGAGTGTGATTTGAGGGCAAAGGTAACATCCGTCAATATGTCACTAAGATCTCTATCGACTGCCTGAAGTGCGGCTCAATCAATAATACTTGACAACGAACTATTAGAAGTCTCATGCGCAGAATCCAGCTTTCCGATCAGTACCAACATGACAACTACACTGCAACATGCACAGCTCATGTACTAGTTTAAAATTAAACCAGATAAAATTTCATCTGCCTCGTCTGTTCTTCTGCATCGTCTATAATGCCCCTTCATATCGAGCAGGACTAGGCCTTATTGTTAGTAACACCAAGGGATAGGTTGATACAGTTAACTGTACGTATCAGTGGCAATTAATAAATAATAGGGGTAACTATGGTTCTCTATTATACGTAAAAAAAAGAAGGATAATTATTATAGGTTAGTTAGTTAAATAACTAACTTATTACCTATAAATCCCTAGAGAATTCTATAGCTAAATATCTAAGGATTTACTAGTAATAAGTTATTAAGGTTAACCTAATAACTCTAATATTTATCTATAATAGTTAATATTATAACACTAGTAACTTTCTATAGTGCTAGAAATCCCTTATTATTTATATCTAAAAGAATAGCTAAAAAATATAATAAAAATAAGAAGCTAAAAAGTATTTAATACTTTTTACTTATATAGTCTATTATATATAAAAAACCTATTTATTTATTTATATTTTTAACTACCTATTATTAACTAGCTTCTTTAATATATTATTTAGTAATAACTTTATAAATCTATCTACTAGGTTATTATTACTATAAATCTACTATATCTTAAAAATCTTAT